CGCATCGAGTTCGGCGGGCGCGGGCGGTTGCTGCTGAGGGTTCGGTCTGTCCACCAACTTGGTCACAGCCATCTTCATCAAGTCCATTATCTCCGAGCTACCACCCGAGACGCCACCTGGGGTTCCGCGAAACTTCTGCTTTCGCACGCCTCCCCCCCTCCCGGAGCGCACCTTCCGACCCGCCTTGCCCGCGGAGAGTTCCGTCGCCTCCTCGTCGTCGAGCTCGAACTGGCCTTGTCCGTCGCTGCCTTCATCCCCATGCACTAACCCTGAGGCAGAAGACTCGTCGCCATCGTCGTAGTCCCCCTGCCCGCCGCCACCAAAGTCCTCGTCCTCGCCCCGGGGGTCCTCGGGATCTTCCCCTAGCTCCTCCACGTCGTCTATCCCACCACTGTTTCCCCTCCGCGCGAAGTAGTCTTCTGCCTGTTCGTCATTCAGAACGCCGTCCAAATCGAATAAGCCGACTGATGATGAGGCGCGCCCACGGCCGCGTGCGCCGCAACCACGTACAGCCCCAGCCCCCATTCTGGGGCGTCCACCCCTAGCGGAGACATGCCTACGTCCGACCGCGCCTCCCGCGCCCGAGGACGTGCCTCGCCCACCCGCGGTGGAACCAAGACCACGCCCCCCCCCAGCAGAGCCCCGTCCTGTGGCAGGAGCTCTGCGAGGGGCGGAGCCGGTGGCGGAGCCGCCGCCTGCGGCGACTCCCCTCCCCCCGCGAGCAGAGAGACCGCCCCTGCCTCCGCCTGCTGAGGGCGCGGAGGACCTCCAAGAACCTCCGCCGTAGGCAGCGCGGTCACGTTCGGCCTTGGCGGCCGCTACTTGCTCCTTCGCGGCGACGTCCCCCGCCATCGCCTGCTCCTTTGCAGCTTGTTGTAGCTTGATGGACGATATGAGCTGGTACTTCTGGAGCGGAAACGCAGGCGATGTAGGCATGAGCCACGGATGCAAAAAAAAACAAAAAAATAGAAACAGAGTTAGGATACGGCGCGTTGCTCCACTCACCAACCAAACGCCAACGTTGAGTCTGTCGGCATTGTTGCACGTGGGCCCCCTTCGTGATGTCCCCCCACCATTTTTTCGGCTTACGCCGTTGTTGCGTTGGAAGATTACGGGGGCGTCGAGCTACCCCACCCCAACAACAAATTAACAAACAAAAACAAAAGTAAAAGGTGCGTGCACGATCTCCCACGGGGAGGGGACACGTCGTGAGTCCGCAATTAATTTCCCGCTTAGGAGGGGTACAGCCACCCGGGGAGACGACAAAAAACAAACATAAAAAAATAAAACTCCCTCCAGCACGCACGTGCTTACAATCGCGGGCGGGGGGTGGGATCTGACCCTAACCCATTTTTTTGTGCACAGTTTTTTGAGTCCGGACTCTTGACACGGGCCACCAATCTATCCCCTGACACACAGAGACGAGGCACAGCCCCCCCCGACCACCCGACTGGTAAACCCCACCTCCCGAAGTACCATCCGCGCACCTCAGAATCCCTCGCGTACAGCTCGCTCTCCTCCTCCTGAGTCATTGTCCCTTCTCCGGTCAGCTTCGCGGCACCCCTCTCTTCCTTTTCGATAGCGTTTCTCCTGCGGTTCCATCCTCTCTCGATAGTGTCCGCCAGCTTTGCCTTGTCCACGGGATCCTGGAGTTTCGGGGCGTGCACCAATGGGAGCGGGTGGGAGAAGGGGGGGTAAATGAACAGCGAACGTTCCCCTCACACCTCCGCGTGAAACGCCCACAGAGAGAGATCGTTCAATCAAAACCCTAAACCGTGGAAATGCATGACCTCGATACGAAGGAACCAAAGAATACTACCATTCAAGAGAGAAACAAACATTCAATCAGCCTTAATCTTGATACGGTCCTTACACGATTGCGCTGGTAGTCCAGGTGCAGGTCTTGCCGCACCCCATTCCTGAATGTGGTCAGCGTCTGGGCCTCTATGAACGTGTCCACCACCCGAAGCCACTTTCCAGGCCGCAGTGCGTCACTACGCTCCCCCCACGGAGTGTGTTTCCCGACGGCTAGAAAGCAGCATTCCCATTCCCCTGGCCTCGCCATGGCTCGTTGGATCGTGAAGGGATTTACACCTGGAGGAGTTTATTTGCATACGCGAGGGCGCGTGATGGTCCATACAAGTTTAGAGTACAGTACACGACGGTGGCACCCGATGCTCGTACATGGACTTGTACCTAACCCAACCACAAGTTATACAACGGCTGTTCCTTCATGCCTTTTTCTCACTAACCGGTCCGACCTACACGCCGAGATGTCAGCACACTTGTATCTCGCTGCTACTTGCTACCCGAACAATCGCGTAGATCGGCCCCGGGAACAACTCTGCGTGCACCCAGTCGACCCCGAAAAGAAGTCCTTCCCAAAGAAGAACTCACCCTGATCAGTGGCCCGCTCTTTGCCGCTCTTGGCCTTGCCCCGGGTCTTGACTTCCTTTACGCTGTCGCCCGAGTCGGAGCTCTCTTCACCTGCCTCCTCCTCATCACCTTCGCCTACCTCATCTTCTCCCTCGTGCGCTCCCGCGACCACCCCCTCCAGAAGCACGCTGCTGCTTCCTGATACGTCCAAGCCACTGCCCGACATATCCAAGGCTATAGGGTTGGACATGCGACCACTGCCGCCAGCCGAAGCAGCCCTACCACCTGCCCACCCCTCGGAGTCGAGATAAGGTGAGCCTTCTCCGTAGCGACTGCTGGGAGTGGACTTCCGCTTTCCGAGCGCCTTCCCGGGAGTCAACGAGAGGGAGTCTGAGGTCTCCTGCGACATGTTTCCTCTCGACTCCTGTGTATATACACTACGCGAACTACACTCCCCGAATCCCAACCGCCGCCAGCGGCTTCGCGCCCCTAGTACGTGCGCCCAGAGCTACCGTCTCTTCCAGCAACCACTGCTGTAACCTCTCCCATCACGGGCGGGGCACCCGACTAGCTGCTGTTGTGGTTATCTCCCGTGTGCTTCGAGTCCAGAGTCCAGACAGACCAACCTCGGCGTGTTTTGTTCTCGATCCCGCGATGAACGCACACGATCCTAACCGTGGCTTGACGTTCCCCTAACGCGATGTACTCCCGGGAGCGTTGTGTTCACGTGTGTGGGTGTGCGGGCAGCTGCGTGCGAGCTTGCCGACTGAGTTGATGCCTTCGTGTGTGTGCGATGGCGCTCGTGTCAATTTGTCTCTATCTCAGTCCAAAATACCTCAGGTGAAAATATTTTGACCACGTTTTCGAAAAATTTTGACCTGTAATTCTGACATGAAAAAGTGCGGCGTAACCTCTCGTGTCAAAATTCTGAGGTCTCGTGTCAAAATTCTGGTCTCGTGTCAAAATTTCGTGTTCGTGTCAAAATTCCTGACACACGTGGGAACCCAGTGTCATGTTGCTCGTTTTCGACTAGTAAATTTAAATTTCTCTGCCAAGCAACGCACATACATTCGGGGATGCTGCAAGGGACAAGATGTAGACTTAGCGAGGAAGGCGCGGCGGTGCAAGGGATAAGATATTGACCACATGTATATATCACGGCGCACGGGCAAACAGTACGTGAGACTGCGGTGGACTTGACCACGGTGGACTGCTGTGTGAGGTGTCAATACACAGGTCCAGCAGTCAGTCTCGGACTGGGGCTCCAAATTTTCCGGTCAGATTTTGGAATAAGAAAGTTTCCTGGAAACTTCGTGCAGGTGAATTTTTTCAGATTATAGCGGCTTCATGTGATTGGCTGTGGGTCAACAGCCCTCCCAAGAACTTCCCCTGTCCGCAGGTGCTGTTGTTTTTACGTTGTGCGCTGCGTGACAACTAGCTGTGCACCTTGCTTGATGGCAAGGGGTCTAACTGCTACTTGCTGCTGTTGTTGAGTGTGCTTGCGTGCGTACGCGTGTCCGTGTCTGCGTCGCTGCTTCAACCCCAGCACATGAAATCGCACCACCCCAGTGCGGAGACAGGAAGTGATTACTGGCTGTACACTGGCCGATGACAGCCTCTGAACGAAGTGCTACGTCGCGTTTCAAGCTTTCGGGAGAGAGACGGGGGGGTAGGGACCGGGAGGCACATCCGAGTCAAAGGCCCTTCTTTCTAGTAGATACCGGCCCTTCTTTCTAGTAGACACCAGAGAAAATACTCTTGCGCGCGGAAGGACGCGTCCGCCTTCATTCACTGCGAGACCGTGCTCTTCCTCCTCTCTGCTCTTCTTCTTTGCTGGCGGCGTTGCCATCACCTCTAGGTTCGTGCGCTCTTCCTCCCCCTTGCCTCAATCTGACGGGCGTGTTGCTGGCCTCAAGCCAGCCGGAAACAAACCCAACTTTCTGACCGTGCAGCTTCCCTATTTTTGCGCTGGTGGCGCGCCAACTCCAAGGCCTTTCGCTGGGCGCTGACCTTCTCTTTGGCCGCCCTGACATGTTCTTAGCAGACTGCTGTTGTGTGTGCGTGCGGTGGTGCGTGTGACGTGTTACTTCGAAATCGAAAAAACGTGTAAAAAATCCCACAAACCAAGCCTCCCTCGGATGATCAACCTGTAATTTTTTTCGTTGTTATGGAAAGGTGGACGGGCACTACACGGCCCTAGGCTTGCTAGAGGGAGCTGTATCGCCTCAGTAACCTGGCTTCGCCATCAACGGAGGAGGGAGCAGGTGGCGACGAGCTGAACTAGGCTGGTTGACCCCTTCGGCGCGAGAATTTTTATATTTTTCAGACCAAGAACCTTGAGAGCAATGAGGGAGAAAGCGAGGAACGGACTGGGAAGGACAGCAACGAGAGCGTGTACGGACGGAGCAGGTCGAGTGGCGTTTTGCTCGGGCTGACTACAGCGGCGCCGGATGGAGCAATGGCACCGGAGCATGCGGGCGACATCGACCCGTGGCGCATGGACAAACATTTCTATCTGTGTCAAGTTGTCTGTGTTGTCAATTTTTTTCGTTTTTTTTTCTGACTTTCCGTGCTGGTGTTGTGTGATGACATCGTCACCGGTTTTGTAGAGAGACCCGTCAGAGATGGCGTGGCTAACCCGGGTGCATTGGTTTTTGTGCCTGATCGTGGAAGGCCCCTTCAATGTGGAACGATTCTTGCTAGTGTCCATATTTTTCACTGCAGTGCCTACACAGACGATCGGGAGAGATTCGGGTGATTGTCAATTGCTGCTATGATGGCTTTGGTTGGTTGTTCTTTTTCACTGTACGGCCGCAGACACATTCTGACAGCACTTCAGACAGCAGCCTTGTGCCCCGCCAGCTGCTTGTTCCATGCCTACCATGGTGTTTTTGTACAGATAGCACTTCAGACAGCAGTGTGCTGTAGTCGGCAATCTTCCTTTTTGGTATAGAGTGGGACAGGGAGGGGGTGATGCTACTGTAGTCGAACGGTGGGACGGAGGTGCAGTTCAGTTTTTGGGCACGCATACGGTGCTGCAGGGATTTTTAGGTGTACCTCTTCGGGCTCTTGGATACCTTTTCCTCGTTATATGTGTGCGTGTTCCTTAGATCCTCAGATGGCTCTAGCACTTTCGTGACCACGGGCTGAGAGTCTTTTGCTAGATTTTGGCATTTGGCAACTGACATCACGGTTTAATGTGAAGACAACTAACTAACTAACTATGGGCTCTGGCGAGACTGTCAGGAGCGATCCTCAGAACGACGGCTTAACTAAAAATATGTTTCCTTATTTCGGAAAATGTTTGATGGTGGGTCTTGTAAAAAAAAATGCAGGATCGAAATCGAAAAAATAAATAAAAATGACGCTGACTGGCTCTTTCCCACAGATTCCGCCGCCGAACCTCGAAGACAGATGTTATTGTTTGCTCAAGAATTCTGGATTATTTTTCTGCAGGTAACCGAAGAAAAACCAAGACACCTGAAACACATTGAGAGCACAGGTAAAGCGCCGTCTTGGTCGCAAAGTTTTCTTATCGGACTAATACTAACCCGCTACAAGCTTCCCAAGATTGCCTTACTATTATTGCTTTTGTTTCGGCCTCTGGCCTAAACGTATCTTACTCAAAACTGCTTCACCCTCTCTTGAGCGATAGGTGTGGGTGGGCGGGAAAATCGTTCAGCTCCTAGACGGCACCTTGTGTTATGCTGCTCCTGAGAGCTGCAATCTCTGCCAGTCCTCTTCTCTCAAGTTCGCGCTAGCTTGTCTCTCGCCCAGCGAGAGGACAAAAACTTTCTGACACCCGTGCAGCGTCTTTTCTTTTCCCTTCGAGCCCCGTTTTTCCGAGTTCCAACACGCCTCCACAAACCACAGATTCAAATACGTACAGAATCTTAACTTTTTGTTTGCTCAAGAATTCTGGATTATTTTTCTGTAGGAAACCATGAAAAACCAAGACATCTGAAACACATTGAGAGCTCAGGTAGAGCGCCGTCTTGCTCCCAACGTTTTCTTATCGGACTAATCCACTACAATCTTCCCAAGATTGCCCTACTGTTATTACTTTTGTTTCGGCCTCTGCCCTAAACGTGCCTTACTCCATTAGGCATGTCCGATGACCTACTCATTCGAGTCCCTCCTCACTCCTCGGGTTCAGTCACGACCTGTGACACGAACTTCGCCCATTCTCCCCCAGCTCACCATAAAAGCCGCAGATTCCATAACCGCCTCTCTGGATCTATCTGAGATACCGACGCTCCCCTACTAGCTAGGTGCGTGGCTTCCCCGATCCTCCCTGAATGCAACGCATGCTTCCGCGGGTCTCTACCCACCGCACTCACGAGTAACCTGAGGGATCTCGATGCCTCTGCCCTCGAAATGACCTTCCACCTGTTTTGTTCACACGATTGCATCAGCGGGGCATTGCTTCCCAACTCGGGGTGCAGATCTAACAGATCAAGCACTACCTTCAGCGTCTCTCCAGATCTAGTCACTGTTGCCCCCAACCGTTTCTGATCGGCCTTGGACGCTCGGAACGTGAGTTCCACCCGGCTAGCCTGCCTCCTGTCTGCCCATGCCACCCTCACCGGACCACTAAAGAAAACCAGGTCTCCCCTAGTCAGGCAAAAGGCTGAATGCACGAGCCCCGAGTCGTCCGCCCAAAGTTCTGAGGCTCGACACAATAGCAGGTACGAGAGCGCCAATCCACACCAGATCAACCTTCCTGATTCTCCTGACCCTCCTACCACGCTCTTCCCAACCTCCAGCATTTCCCATGACAGGGGGTTCCTAAACTTAGGCTTCGTCTGCGTATTGGCATGAGCCCTATCAATGGTTTTCAACACGGCGAGGATCTGAAAATGCGAAGTGGGCAACTCCCATCCCGGATGCGTCTTGTGAAAGTACTTGATGGCTGACAAATATCCGCGAACAGTCTGACTCTGGTTCCGGTGTACAAAACACCGACAAGCCATGAACACAGACAACTCCCTAACCGCACTGTCCACCCCATCGTTCTCGCGGAGCCACGGGCTCAAGCCCGCACGCGCTCGCTCTTCCTTCCACGTGTTCCACATCCTTCGATACACCTTGTTGGTACCACCGACCAGAGACCCGAGAGTGAGGGCATTGACCAACCGCTCTCCTTCTGCGCTTGTGCCTGCCCGGCCACCCTTTTCCTGTGTTCCTGATTTCATTTCATCGGGAAAACACAGCATAAGGGAGGGCACACGCTTCGGGAATCCCTTCCAGTTGCACAAACAGTTTTTACCGAACCCGAGAATAGCCCCAGCCTTGGTGCGAGGGGAGAACAATTGATATGGTCGTCCAAACCATCTCTTCCTCCCCGGTTAAACATTTCGTATTTTCGTGTCCAGACATTGCGTTCTTTGGTGCGTGTCCACCGCTCCAACTTTCCCGCAATCTCATTCTGTTTACATCTTTCGTTGATCATAATGAGCACAAGGCGATGTCCGGCCGCTTTGTTGTTGTACCCATCGACACCGTGAGATGATCTCAACTCTGTATCACCATTTTCCATACCGAGTCGTCCAGACTTTCTTTTGGCCGTTTCTTTTGAAGGATTGCACCCAGTAACCCACGTCCACCTTCCCCGATATCCTGCTGGCACCAATCAGAGTCGTGAGGGTTTCAATGTTGGCGGTGATCTCGTGTTCTTCCCTGCGTGAGATCCCGTCTGCGACGGTGTTCTTTCGACCCGGAATATGCGTTGCCACGTGGCACCAACCGCATGATATTTCCATCCTGCCCATGAGTCTCATTATGAGGCTCGCGCGTCCATCTCGGGATGAGCCGCATCTGTTTGTCCAGCTGACGGCCGACACATTAACCCCACGCATCAGTTCGGATCGTCCTTCTTCTACAGGCCGGTCCTTCATGATCATTTGGACAACCCACGCCGTCATGAACATGCCAATCAATTCTACCAGGTTGATCGTAATATCTGATGTCTCTCTGGCTGCCGCCTTGCGCTTGAGCTCCGCTGACAGTGCCGGTTCAAGCGTGTATCGCCAGAAGGTCTTTCGTTCAGGGCAGTAGCCGCCAATTGCTGTGAAGCTAGCGTCTGAGAGATAGAGACGTGAAGGTGCTCGTTTCACGTGGAGTAAGAACGAGGCACTAGGGGACTCTCCTCGAAGGGCCAGAGGGTGGTCGAGGGCCCACTTCCAGAAGGCAATATCGCCATGAAATTCCCTACCCAGATCCACTAGACGCCTAGAACGTGAATGTCGGCTGGCTTGTGTATGCAGTCCCGACAGTCGGAGGAGTTGCCACACGAAATACCTTCCGGCTCTGATGANAGACGTGAAGGTGCTCGTTTCACGTGGAGTAAGAACGAGGCACTAGGGGACTCTCCTCGAAGGGCCAGAGGGTGGTCGAGGGCCCACTTCCAGAAGGCAATATCGCCATGAAATTCCCTACCCAGATCCACTAGACGCCTAGAACGTGAATGTCGGCTGGCTTGTGTATGCAGTCCCGACAGTCGGAGGAGTTGCCACACGAAATACCTTCCGGCTCTGATGACATACGTGAGGTTCCAGAGTTTCCTGCTGTACTGAGTGTTGGGATGTAACCTCGTGATGGGTGTATCCCTGGATGTGGCAAGCACTGTGTAGAAACAGTGTGCAGAGGCTCACGTGTGACTGTTAAGTACACTTGTGTAAAGACCAGATTGATGGTTTGAAGTGGCTCTTAGTTGGCCGAAAGGTAAGGAAAAGAAGAAGAGTGATCGAGAGGGGGCGAGCACCACAGGGGGCGAGCCTCCAAGCTATCACAGAAAGATGCACACACACGGGTCATTTCAACATCCCGCTTTCTAGAAATAGGCGGCTAGTCCGACCTCTAGAACGGATCTAGAAATGATATGCGTAAGTGCATAATCTACAGAATTCTCCATAGCTGTGTATAATCTACCGAATTCTCTTACGGTGATTACCTACGTGCTGTGCTTACAGCAGTACAAAAATCAATGACTGACATTGAATATACCAACACTCCCCCGCAATGGAAAGTCCATTCAAAGAACATATGTACGCTTACATGTACGAATTTAGGAAAGATAATCAAAGAAATGATCAGCACTAAATTCAATTCAAGAATGATGCAGCTATACTGCTGTGTAGGCTAATCAATTCTGAAACAGCGAGAGATTCTGCTGTACGTATTTACCAAGCAATAAACACTCAGAGGAGATACGAAGAGAAGAACAATACATGTTCATACCAATACTTAATAATTAATGCAGCTTGGTGCATGTTTACGTTGGCTATAGTCTACTGCCGTAGAAGCAGTGCTTGGTTTGGCTAAACTGCTGCAGAGGCCGTGTTTGTATTACTTGCAAGCAAACTCAATTACCAGAGATAAAACTACTACTACTGTGAAGCAGTGTTTAGAACATAGTGCTTAGAATGCAAAACAAGGAAAAATCACCAATCAGCTATAGTGCCTATAAGGTCTCGCCCGTAGGTCTGCCTGTTTGGAACGTTCGTTGAAAGCCTAGTTTAGCTATGATACCACATCGTATACTCTGCTTGACAGTCCGAAATCAAACTCTGAATCTACGTCGCGAGCCCATCCTCTTAAAGGAAAGTTGAAGACCTTGGAGTCCAGGACGAACATGAGGTCGTTTGCGCAGGGCTGCTGGTGACTGCTGATGGTCTGCTGCGGTGGTGCCGCTGGCTTGTGCAGTATGAGTCCATGATGGTCATGAAGTAGAAGGTGAAGAAGGCTGAGATCCGCTGAAGGTCCGCTGCTGAAGGTTGGTTGATGTATGTTGTGTGGGAGTGTGCGCGGGTTGCACATCACGCTTTCCCAACATCCTGTCGGAGGAAAAGTCGCGGGATGAAGCGTCTTCTGGAAGATGTTGTCTCCCCCGGTAGCGCGAGATCTTGAAAGGTCGATGCGCTGCTGCTAAAAGCTTCCAGAATTTAAAAAAAAAAAAAAAAAATGCGGTGAAAACCTGATTGGCTGCTTCAAGGTGGGCCACACCTCGCGGGCCCCCGAAAACCGTGTTCGGTTGGTCCGTTCTTGGTCGCCAGCTGCTGTTCCGCTCATTTGAAGTTGATGATCTGGGAAATGAGAGATTCTTGGACATCCCTCGTGCAGTACTTGGTCCCGATGTCTGCCAGCATCGCACTCGAGGCCACCGCGTCCAGCTGGCAGCGCCCTTGCTGTGCCCACTCCCTGAGGCCTGCGTACCTAACGCTGATGTGACGACTCCTCGCGCCAAAATTGCCATTGGAGGCCAGGGACAGCGCACTGCGATTGTCGGTGAGTAGCTTGAACGTCCTCAGTTGTCTCCATCCGAGCTCCCCCAGCATTGAAGAGAAGTAGATGCCGTGCTTGGCAGTTGTATTCAGAGCGATGATCTCCGATTCCGATGTGCTCTGAGCCAAGATGCGTTGTGTCTGACTGTTGAAATGGATCAGTCCTCCGGCTAGAAACACCATTGACCCTGTTGTAGACTTGAATCCAGCTACTTGCGCATATGAAGCGTCCGAGTAGCAAGTGAGCTCAAATCGGCTGTCGCGTTTGTAGATGATATCCAGTCCGGGCCTCTTCTTGAGATAGCGAAGGATCCGCTTGGCGTTGGCGAGGTCCACGGTTGTAGGGCTGGCCATGCGCCGAGCTGCTGTCATTGTTGCGAATGCAATATCGAACCTTGTGCAATTGATGAGGAAGATGAGGCTTCCCACAAGGCTTTGGTATTCCCTCTTGTCAAAGTCCGAAAGGAGAGTGCTGTTCACCGTAGATGCGTTGATGTCCACTCCGGTTCCCGGGGTGTGTGAAGGGTTGCATGCGTCCATCTTGAAACGCTTGAGTACAGATAGCGTGTACTTTTCCTGGCTCAGGGTTATGGTCCCTTTAGTCAGGTCCTGCTTGATGTCGATGCCAAGGATTTGGGTAGCTTGCCCAAGATCAGTCATGGCGAACGAGCTTCGTAGATCACGGCGAACCTCCTGAAGTACGTTGTTCGAAGGTCCAGTGAGCAGAATGTCGTCCACGAAGAGAGTGAGCATAATGTAGCTGTTGCCGCTCCCTTTGGTGTAGACGCACGGGTCCGAAGCGGTAGGCGTGAAGCCTTTGCCACGGAGATCCTTGTCGATCGTGAGGTTCCACACGCTTGGAGACTGACGTAGGCCATAAAGACTTTTCTTCAGCTTCCAGACGAGCGGTTTGCCGGTGCTGCTTTCAATTTTCTCGAACCCTGGTGCCTGATAGGTATACACGTCTTCCGACAGTTTCCCGTTGAGAAATGCCGTCTGCACGTCCATAGCAATGACAGGCCACCCTTGGGCGGCAGCGATTGCCAGAAGAAGTCGTTGGCTGCCGATTTTGCATACAGGTGCAAAAGTCGTGAAGCAGTCGATCCCATGCTGTTGAGCCCATCCCTGAACAACAACTCGTGCCTTGAAACGTCCGTCCGTCTTCACTCGGTAGACCCAGCGCGTGCCGATGACGGAGCAGCCGGCCGGAACGGAGGAAACGGGGATGAGGTCGGCGACGTCGTGGTCGTCCAAGCTGGCTAGCTCCTTGAGCATGGCCTGCTCCCACTCCGTTGATTGCGGTGAGTTCATGGCCTGCTTGTATGTGTTGGGAACTTCCACTGCCGCCGGCGGAAGAACATTGTCGAGGCCGACCGCGCCGATGTACTCGGTGTAGGAGTCCAGCATTTGCTGGGAAGTATCTTCGTTCACCAAATTCAGTTGCCGAAGGGCCCTGGCTTGCCTTGCGTTGCTGCTGTCCTGCTCTGGAAGAGGCACTTGACCAGATGAACGCAGGCGAGAGCTGATCTTGGCACCTTGCTGTCGCTGAATGTTGGTACGGCTGTTGTTTTCTGGTTCGTGTTCCAAAAGAGTGATGCCGTCGTTGATGATGTCCATGTCCGTTGAACCAGGTTCCTGGTCGATCGCCAGCTCTCCTGATACGTCTTCGACGATGGGCAGAACGGCAGGCGGCTTCTCAATGAAGGTGACGTTTCTTGTGCTTGTGATGCGCCCCGTTGTCCTGTTGTATATGCGGAATGTAGGGCTGTCGTCGTTGTAGCCCACCAAGACTCCTTCCCACGCTTTTGCCTGCAGCTTCGTAGTGTGACCTTCTATGTGAACGAAGGCGCGCGAGCCGATGATGCGCAGAAAGGAAAGGTTCGCCTGCTTGCCGAACATGCGAAAGTATGGCGTGTCGCCCTTGAGGGCCTTGTGCGGTAGACGGTTGATCAGGAACACCGAAGTTGCCGCAATCTCCCCCCACAAATGCTTGGGAAGATTTGTCTCGTTGATGATGCAGCGGGCCATATTCATGATGGTGCGCCCGTCTCGTTCGGAAATGCCGTTCTGTTGCGGCGTGTGCGGCGAGCTGAATCGCTGAATTATGCCGGTTGTCCTGCAGTAGTCGCGGAAGTCGCTGTTGACGTACTCTCCCCCGTTGTCTGAATGTAGATACTGCACCCGTAGTCCGAGCGGGATGGCAACGTCTTGGACGTAGTTGACGAGAGAAGATAGAGCGTCGCCTTTCTTGGCGATGAAGTAGACCGCTTTAAGCCTGGTGGCATGGTCGGTAAATTTCGCCATGTAGTTGTAGCCTCCAATCGCGCTTGGCGAAATGGGGCCGAGTAGGTCGGTGCTGACGAGCTGAAGACGCTCGGTGATGCCGTCCATGTTTGCGATCTTCGGGTGGTTCTGCTGTGAGCTTTTGTTTATTTTGCAGGTGCCGCACGCCGAAAAAGAATCGCGTAGATGTACCCCACTGCCGTCGATGCGTGCTAGTTGTTCAAGTACCTGAACGTTGGGGTGTCCGAGCCGTTGGTGCCAAGTGTTGGCTGAGGCCGTTGCTGATGAAGCCGCTGCATAGGTGGTCCCGGTTGATGATGCCGGTCGTGCTCCGGCTACTGCTCCTGTAGTGGTAGATGATGCTGAAGATGCCGAGGCCGATGTATACACGGTGTTGGCGCTTTCCGTCGGTAGATCTAAACCCGAGATGGTCGAGAACGCATGGTGCGTTGCGACACTGTCCGGCGCAATAGCTAAATCGAAGTGAAAAAGCGTATCGCAGGCGTCGTCCGGTCGAAGAGGGATTTTGAAAACGCCCGTATCGAGGAACGACGTCGATCCAATAAATGTTGACACTCCCTGCTTCCTCGCTGTTCCCCCCGAAAACAGGTGACGCCCCAGCTTCGGAACGCAGATGAACGGGAGGCGGATGGAGCGCGGATTGCCATTTTGGTCGGTTACGGTGACCTTGAGAGCTCCTTTGGCGGTGCCGTGAAGCTGCCCTTGTCCGGCGACGTGGATGAGGAGCGGGGGGTCGATCTTGGTGTACTCGACCATACGTTGTTCCAGTGCCGGAATCAGCTCGTTGTCAAGGAAGTGGTTGGAGGCGCCGGTGTCGACGGTCATGGTGAAGGTTTGCGCCGGGGCGGTGCTGTCGGCGATGAAGGAGAAGCCAATGCCCGCTGGAGGCGCCGGAGCTGATGAAGCAGTAGTCGACCCGGGAGCATGTTGTCCGGATGGGCTGTAGTACTCCACCATGGTTGTAGCAGATGGAGTCGCGGACGTTTGTCCGTAGTTGGCTTGTGGTGCATGATTAATGCGTTGGTGGTGCGGTCCACCTGGGGCGTTGCTGTTGTTGCCGTTATAGCTGTGGCGGTCCTGCCCGCCTTGCCGATCCCCATTGCTGTACCGGTATTCTTGGTTACGATGACCTTGTTGGCGTTCATGCTGCTGACGACCTCTTGCGCCGCCGCCGCCGTAGTTCCGGTTTTGTAGTATACATGTCGAATTGTCATGACGTGAAGTTTTGTGAAGAGTGCACCAGTCTCCTTTTCGACCGCCGGGAGCGTTGCCCGTTAGTCTCTTGTTGCGTTTCCAGCAGTGTTGGGTGAGATGCCCTTTCTTGTGGCAGAAGCTGCAGGTCTTGGTAGTTGAAGCCACCATGGCGGACGAGCGGCCCTTCGCAGCACGCGAAGACCCACTTGCCTCCTTGCGGTTGATGTAGAGGTTGCGCATGGTGTACAGGGCTTGTTCCAAAGTGAGGTCGTCCTTGGTCTCCGCTTCGTACTTGATTCCAGAGTAAAGCTCCTCCGGTAGGCAGTCCAAAATGATGTTCATGAACTGGTCGTCGGGGATGGGACTCCCCAGCAGCTGTAGCTCATCCCGCAGCTCGGTCATGTCGTGCATGAAGGCGTCCGGATCCATATCCACGTCCATGGTCATGTTGTAGAGCTTCTTGAACAAGATCTTCTGCCGCTGGCGAGAAGGGTTGCGATATTTCTTCACAAGAGCCTTCCACGCCACTATCCCATGAAACATCATGTCCGGTTTCGGTTTGAACGTAGCGACAAATTTCTTTGCCGCACCGGTGGTGCACATAGAGAGAAATGCACCAAGCATCGTGTTGGAGCTGTGCCACGCGATGATCTCGTCTCGGTTGATGATGGTCACAGGCATTTCCCACAAAATAGCAGCCGGAAGCTCTGTAGTAGTCGCGTAGGTGAACTGAACAGGAACATCTGAAGGGGCGTCGGAGTTGTCGCCACCGTCTTCGTCGCCGCCGTCGATTCCTGCTACTGCTGCAGCCGATGCTGCAGCCGATGCTGCCGCCGTTGCTGCTGCCTGCAACGCTGCATCGCTCGCTGCTGCTGCCGCGCCATTGTCGTCGTTGCCTGCTAGGATGGCGGCTGATGTTGCTGTCCGGGCTACCGTGGCGGCCGCCGTTGCGGCCGCGGCATCCGCGGCTGCCTTGCTTTCAAGTACTGATGTAGCTGCCGCACGGCGTCGCTCCCGTGAGAGGGAACGACCCCGCCGCACGGCTTGGTATTTGGGTTCAGGGCATTTTTGACCTTGGATGATCGAAAGAATGCCTTGGCCGCGGAGTCTGAAACAATCCATCGCCTGCTCATACCACTCGGTAAATCCGCTGCCGCTAAATTTGCCCGCGGACCGTATCATTTTGTCAACGATATCCGCTTGTTTTTGCTCGTCCATCTTGAGTAGACGCTGCTGTAGACGCTGCGATGAACTAGATGACGTGGGTTGAAGTTACGCTCACGTACGTTGACGTGTCGAATGTTGTACCCGTTCGCAAGGAAGCTAACAGTCCCGCGAAAGAAAATGGGCTACCGCTCTACTTGGGTACCCGGGGTGCTTACGGCGATAGAAGCCGATGTCGTGGCGTACGTCTCGGAAGTACGTCCCGATGTAGTGGCGAAGCTGCTGAAGAACTTGCCGAAAGACGGTGTGATTAACTCGTCGTCCTGGTGTTCCGTCGAACCCAGGCGCTCTTCTTCTAGAAAAAACTCCGCAGAAAAATGCGGAACGTTGAAATCTCCCGCTGGATCGGGTGGATGATGAGGGTAGCTTGTAGATAGAGCGTGTAGAACGTGAAGTGGACGATCCGTGATGAAGCCGTGGAAGAACCGACGAACTCGATGGAAGTCTTCACGTGCCGTCCCGAAGAAGAAAATGCTGGCCAGCTGTTTCTTCGGAACTCGATGCGGTGCGCCTGTTTCTTGGGCTGTACGCGACGCTGCTGAACAGTCGATGCTGCTGCTGATGCTCCCTCTTGCCGTGAAGTAACGAAGGCGAATAACCTGTTGGGATGTAACCTCGTGATGGGTGTATCCCTGGATGTGGCAAGCACTGTGTAGAAACAGTGTGCAGAGGCTCACGTGTGACTGTTAAGTACACTTGTGTAAAGACCAGATTGATGGTTTGAAGTGGCTCTTAGTTGGCCGAAAGGTAAGGAAAAGAAGAAGAGTGATCGAGAGGGGGCGAGCACCACAGGGGGCGAGCCTCCAAGCTATCACAGAAAGATGCACACACACGGGTCATTTCAACATCCCGCTTTCTAGAAATAGGCGGCTAGTCCGACCTCTAGAACGGATCTAGAAATGATATGCGTAAGTGCATAATCTACAGAATTCTCCATAGCTGTGTATAATCTACCGAATTCTCTTACGGTGATTACCTACGTGCTGTGCTTACAGCAGTACAAAAATCAATGACTGACATTGAATATACCAACACTGAGGACGTCTTGGGCACTGGCCTGCTTCCTATTGCTAGGCCAATCTGCGACCCGAGTATTTCTGATCGCGCTAACCCGCTCGGGGGTCGTGGCTATACGCCCACCGTGTGTGTCAACGGTATACCCCAGGGCCTCTATGACTGTGTCCCAATCAGTGCTCTTTTTTGGGGCGAGGATGGGAGTTTCTCCGACTTCTCCAGCGCCGAACAGTCTAACGTGGTCTGAAGCTAGGAGGCGGAGGCTACCAGTGCCGTTTTGTCGTTTGGATTATGTTGAACCTTCGTGAGCAGAAAGTCGTCGACGTACACCCTGGCCAAGAACTCGTCCTCGGGTCCCCCGCCTTGATGTGGTTGTACGTTTGCTGCCGCTGGGATTGGGGTTGGTGCGCCGATTTCCCACGGGGGCCGTATTTTTGTGTGTGACATTATCGCGACCCCTTCTGGGAGCAGTCGAGCGTTCGAGAGTCGTGTTGCGATGGGAGTGTTCTGCAGCTGAGGCTAGGACCCCCCACAATCCGGGGGACGCTGCCCAACCGAACGTCAATCGAAGGTCTGCTACGAGCACGTCGCCTATCACGTAGCAGAACTCGTGAGCGTGATCTGGTGAAATCCTTAGGGTGTGTCTTATCAGGCCAAAAAAATACGTATTTGGTTACGAAACCGTATTTTCTTGAAATATATGGAGGCGTTCCTCTACGTTTCCGTAAAAAGAGCGAAGCGTATTTTTTCTGGGCTTGCTCCTTTTACGTTTCGGTGAAAAATTTCCCGCTTTTTTGCGACTACCGGAGCAGACACCGGTCACGCGTGCTGTCTTCATCACACCACACCTAGACAGCACCAACAACACCCCAAAGTGCTTCCCAAGGCTACTTCACTACCATGCCTGAGCGTGGGAAGCGTCAAAATCCCAGGGGGATCGCAGCGCAACGCCGGGAGAAGCGCCGTCGGCGAGCTATCGACGAGGAGGATGTAGCCCATGACAAGAGATTCACAGTCTTGGGTCTTGTGAGGGCCGTAGTAGTGGCGGCGGGCGTCGTGGCAGCAGGAGAGGCTCATCGTGCCCACTGCCCTCAGGAACGGGAGCCCATCTACGAGCCCAAGCGTCTTCCGTGGGCTCAACACGAGGCGGACCTCGATAAACGGCACGGGTGGCGGCGGTCGTACCGCATGGAGAAAGGCAGTTTCCACAAGCTTGTCGAGCTCTCCGCCCTTCGCTGGAAGTCAACGCTTTCTTCGGCGGTGAGTGTTGATGTGTAGATGCAGCCGCCCACGGCAGGTATGCGTGATGAGGGTTCTTCTGGTGTATATGTAGAAAGCAACGGGGAAGAGCACAAGTCTAAAACATGTGCTGTACATAGACTACACTGCTGTATGTTCCTGCTGCCTTTTTTTAAAAAGCAACTCGCTCGTCGAACATGCGGCAGCAGGGTACGTACAGCGCAGCAGCAGTATTGTACGATATGCATACATCAGTAGACACATACTTTGTACAGCAGCGGTCATTGTATGGGTTAAAGGCGAAGGTACTATTCGTGTCGCTCACTACTACTGTGCAGCAGTACTCACAGGGCGTACAGTACACGCCGGCCCCACTAAACAAATACAGCCTCGTCGGGAGCCGATACAGATTGTCGTATCCCGCAATGACACAACAGCTATCGACACGTGCTCATCATTTGCAAAATGCGTATGTAGGTGATGAACACAGAGCCGTCTCCGTACCGTAGTACATAGGTGGATTGGGCCGGCAATCTGACGAGTTTGCGGAGAACATGCGTCCCCCGTCGTAGGTTGCTAAACTAGGTGCTGGCGATTGCAAACATGCCCCCCTTGACACTCGTACTTCTGTCCTGAACGACACACGCTCATCCTGCAAACATTATCTGCGCGTCGCTCGGAAACCCCACAGCACTGCGGTCGCCAACCAACGGCGCCATAGCTGTGGAAGTCCGCGTTGCCGCGGCGTTGAGGATCCTGGCTGGCGGCAGTTACTGGGATGTTGCCCTCATGTTTGGCTTGTCGAGGGCGGTCACGTTCGACATCTTGTGGCAAGTGATCGATGCCATCAACGAGACGCCTGCGATTGGGGCATTTGACTTCCCCCTGACCGAGGAAGGCTGCATGCGAAACGCCAACAGATTCAAGGTGAGACCTAACGGTGGTCAGTACTGCAACTACGGTTATTCTTGACGGCACTCTTTCGACCAACCGCGGGATATCGTGTATTTTTTCACGTCTGCTGTTTCCAGCCGTTTTAGCGTAGGGAGGACTATCTATACGCAGCCCTCGTTGATAAGAGAGAAACAAAAATGTTGTCGCCGGGGGGTACGAGTTCGGGTTGTCATCGTGGTCAGCATGGTTCGAACCGAAAAATATCCCCCGGGTCCCGGGTGGTTCGCCAGCTTTCGGTGTCCTTGGACAAATAAATGTTGTTGTCATCCTTTGTGTATGCTGGCCACGTTGGTTCGGCCCCGCAACAGCAGTGGCCCGGCAACAGCTTTAGCGATACAAGAGTGTGGAATCAATGCAGTCACCTCCGTGGCTCTAAAATGCCCTGATACCTTTGTACCGCTGTACGTGACGCAGTATGATTATGATTATGATTATCAAACGGCCCAACTCTCAGTTTACATGGTATGCCCGCCGTTGCTGGCGATGGCGCCGTCGCCGATGACATCAACCCACACAACGTACAGCTGAACACTGTTACCAATTTTTGTCAAGGTATCTCTCGACTTATTTTATATCCCTTCCCGACACTGCTACTTTCCCGCCCTCGTGTCTGCCGTCTACAAATGCAGGAGAAGAGCACCGATGGCATTTTCTCCTGGGTCGTCGCCGCCGTGGATGGTCTGTTCATCAAGGCCAAGGCTCCGTATGCGAAAGACACCGCCAACGTCCTCGCGTACTACTCTGGCAGCAAGTCCGCGTACGGCATCAACGTACAAGCGATGTGCACCGCCGACTACCGGTTTTGCGCGATGTCGGCGATCTCACCAGGCTCTACGAACGACTGGGTAGCATGGAATCGATCTTCCCTCGCCAAGGCCGTCGCCCGCTTGCCCACCGGATTTCACATCATTGGTGACGCCGCCTACCCCATCGGAGAAAAGCTTCTGACTCCGTACCCTGGGAGGCTCCTGCCGGCGGGTGAGGACTCGTTCAACTTCCACCTGAGCCAGCTTCGTGTCAAGATCGAGCAGAGCTTCGGCATCCTGGTTTCGACTTGGGGCATTCTGTGGAGACCTCTCCGCGTGCAGTTCGCAGGACGCGCGGATCTCATCACGGCTCTTTTCCATCTGCACAACTTCCTGCAAGACGAGAAGGTATCGCCGATCCAGGTTGCAGAGGAGGACTCGCGCAGCGGACGCAACCGGCCGGCCCTCTGTGCTACGCAGCGCACCTTGCCGGATGGCTGGCAAACGGAGCAGCCGGCTCCTTCGAGGAGCGGTGAGACCCCGGCCCGAGCGGCTATCCGCACGGCCCTGGAGTTGAAGAAGCAGTGGAGGCCGGACTACAACCGCCGGAGGAATTCGTAAGCACGTATCCAGCCCGGCGGCATCGTGTCGCGCGCGCACAAGCGGGAAGTGGGGACGGGTCTACATAGGGGCGGATGGGGGCGGATGGGGAGGAAGGTCGCTACTACAAGCGGGCGAGAGGCGCGGCGGGGGGCAAGGGGGGTGGGGGTGGGGCGCGCGGGGATGCGATTCTTCCCGTGGCGGGTACACTAAAAGGGCGGGTTGCGGTTAGGGGCCACATGAGCGGATGGCGGCAGAAGTAGGCTAGCTTCCACGGTATGACGAGACGCGTGAAAGGGAGGATAGCGGCGCGGGAGGGAGAGGCGCAGGAGGGAGATACCTCAATGTAGAGGGCGGAGGGCGCTGGAAGGACGTGTTTTGGGTGTTGGTGGTAGGGTGTCGGCGCATCCCGGGGAGAGGTGGGGGGTGTGATGTGTGACTCACATGTTGATTCTCGCTGACATGTTTTGTGGGTGTCGGTGTGGAGCGTTCTGACCAGATGTGTCCTGGTACACTTGGTTCGTATTGTGTGTGTTCGTGCCGGCAACACTTTATGGTTAACATGCATCGTGTGCGGATGAAAGCGGGGTCCTGTGGGTCTTGGAGGGTGCTTGTTTTGCCTAGGGCATTAAAAATGTGGGCATGTTCGACTTTTTTTTCCTAATTGATAGGAGGGTGTGAATCGAAAACGTTGTTGTCGTTGATACAACTTTTAATGATGTCTCTGCATCCCTGTATTAAATATTCGTCGCGTGGGTGAAACATTGCTCGAGGTTGCAGACCTGAAGGAGACCCACACACCCGCTAAAAATTGGGGTCTTGTCGAATCCCATCGCGAACACATTCCTGCGCTTCAAGTGAGCATGCGCGGAGATGGGAAAAATTGCAAGGCTCCAAAATTGCGGAATCAAAGCGTGCCTCAGAGTTCCCGCCAACACCCAACGTAGTATTGGGTTGCAAGAACAAGTCTTGCAAATAGGAAAACACCAAACGATATGCATGTCCGCAGATTGGCGGCACGGCAGGTTACCCCCAAGACAGCAATGTCTTCGGCGTTTTTCAACCATATTATCCTTGATACTCATTTGTTGCCTCAAGGCATCCTCTCAAAGTGTTGTTGCCAGCCAAACAACCCACACGTCTCTGCGGAGGCGCACGTATCCTAAAAAAAATGATGCTACGAAAAGACTAAGTCGTTGACTCAACCATGCCCAACAAAAAAATTGAAACCTCTCCCCCCCCTGGCCCAAAAAAAAAAGGAAGGCTACGACCCTCGCAGCAAGCAAGCCCTGCAGCAGGGAGAGAAATAAAAAAACGCATCCTCGTGTTCGTTGAATACAGTCACAGCAACTTGCCCGTGAACCACAACGGTCTCGGCTTTCTTCCACTATATTTATTTTGTTGATA